GCGACATGCACTAAAGACGACCACCCATAAATGGTGGCACCAAAAAAATAACTACCTGCAAAATGAGTGCACAAAACTCTTTAAGGTATATGTTGTCAAATAATAATTTCATAAGTATTAATGCACTATGATGAATTATAATATATTTAACATTTTATGAGTTTCATTTGACTCGGACATATCTATATTCTTGGGAGCCAGTGGTATTTAAACAGGATTGATAATCATCTGGGAAGTAGTATTCTTGGAATATATTCAATGTAACTCTGTTGCCTGCAGACGCTTGTTATTCGAAGAACTCTTAGTTTGCCTGAGCTAAGGATGAGGTAACAATGTTGATGTGGGAGAGTTAGCATATGTTTATCGCGTAGCTTAATTAGCATATTTAGCTTACCTAGCTTGGACATATTCATGGCACCCCAGTATGCTAGTTTGTAAATCGTGGATACTCGTTGCAGTAATGACGCCTTACAGACGATTATATAACATCCTAGTTTTAGAATAGTATCATGTGGCTAATTGGTTATGAATATTCTGAGTACAATAATTTACATTATAAAAACTATTCATTGGATAAATATACTAATAATTATATTTTGTCTTTTAGGGTGGCTAAATGGCGAATTAACTTTCTAATTCTCGCGTAGTCTAATCGAAGAGTAAATGTTTTAGATCCAAAGGGTATATGTGGCAAATGTTTTTATAATCTATGATTGAGAAACTTTCGAAAAAAAATGGTATTATTTATTGAAAATTTAATTTGGTAACCATAGCCCCCGATTATCCCAAAATAGTTTTTTTTTTTGACATATTTTTTGTTTTGGTTCATGCAACATCTTATTTTTTTTCTTTTTTTTTCCTTTTTCAGATATATATATGTAACAATGTCACCATTCAAGGTTTACATTAGATTCATTTCAACGCTTAACCTTGGTGAATACGAGTGTAGAAGTAATTTCTTGTCATCTGATGAAAGCAGATTTTTTGGTATCGTTAATTGGAAGAGTGGTAAAAACAGTGACAAAAGGTATTGTATTGTACAGTAGTACAAATTCAAATGAATGTGTGAAAATTTTTGATAGTACATATGATTATCAGATCTGTAAAATTCAATTTCATATAGTAATACTCTCTTTTGATGGTTAGAATCAGGAAAATTATTACTATTAGTTTTTTTTTCATGTTAGGATTAGGTGAAAAATAGCATCTTACTAATTATTCTTTTTTTACTAATTAATATTTTGGCAGAATGAGAAATCCAGGTCTTGTATATGACCTTTTACTAGTGTTTTGAACCGTTAACCGAAAGTTCAACCGGGGCTGATCCGGGTAGCAGTCAGGGAATATGTCACATGTTTATATATATAAGTGCAAGATCATAGTAAAATGTAGAACAATTTTTAAAAATTTACTATGAAAATTTTAGAAATATTTTATTCGCTCCTAATCGAACCACATGATGAGTGAAAGATATTAAAAATATCTTCTAAATAACACTATTCTGCGGGTTTTGCTCTATCAAATAGGATAAGTTTAAAAATCGTTTTATATATAAACAGAAAATAATCTCGTGCTCAAAGATTGCTAACATTTCGAAATCTTATTTCTATTAAGGTTGTGAAGTTCTCTTACTCTGGTATGCATTTTAACTTCGAACTGGTGTTTACTCAAATAACGTTTTTTAAAACTTTTCCAAGATTTGGTTGCAATCTGCAAGATACTTTCGGGATCAATCGTGCCTGGAGCAAGACATAGAGAATCTTTAGCCAATTTGCATTGTGAAAGTTAAGTTAGTCTCAAACAAACTCTACCAAAGCTGCTCTTTTATTACTATTGTGTTGATAGTTTTAGGTTTTACTCGATTATCAAAAAAGTCTTGCTAAGCTTTAGACATAATTATAAAAGGATAGTATTCTTCTATCCCTTTACTTTTTATCAAAATTTTCTTGTTTATGCTAATTTTTAACTTGTCACTTCTCATTTTGTTTTTTTGATTAAAGTAATTTAGCTGAATATGTAACGTTTGTTGTAGTTATTTTTCTAAAATTGGTGTTGAAGGTGATAAATCAATGTCTTCAAAAATGGAGTCGAAAAAGATAAGAGGAAGATTTCGAATTTTATAAAAAAGCCACTAATATAGGTAATAATAGAATATTTAATAGTAATTTTTTAACTTCTCTTATTTTTTTTGTAATAAATATGTTGAATTGAAAACAAATATCAATTGTTATAGATTCCTTATGATGAATTTGAAGATATTCAAAAAAAGAGAAAGGTAGATTTGCAGCTGTGTATCGTGCATATTGGCTTAGTAAATTCAAAAGTACGTTGCACTTAAATGCTTAATTTAAATGACTACTTAGAATTTATAGAAGAGTTAGTAGTATTTCGTGAAATCAGAGATATAAATTCAGTATTTTTAATGATTATAAATGGATTGAAAAAAGATGTATTGTTGCAATGTATTAATTTATTTTTATCATTGATCTATATAATATTTTTTATTATAATTTAATTTTTTTTTTATTCGTATCACTTTTTTTTTTTTATTACAATTATTGTGCTTCATTATTTACAATAATGCAATACATATAATAAATCAAAATTATAGCAAAATCGTTAATTAGTGCGTGTTTTTAAATTAATCAGTAATTTTTCTAACAGAAACCAATTACTCGAAAATTATTATATTAACAATTCACTTGACAATTATTTTACTTATAATTGTTTCATGATAAAATGATTGTCAGTGAAATAATTGTCAGTAAAATGATTGTTGGTGAAATGATTTTGTAGATAATAGGATTGTCGATGAAATAATTGTCGGCAAAATAATTGTCAATAAAATAATTATCGGGATCTGGCCTTGTGAAATGATTGTTGATAAAATAAATATGTTGGTAAATTGATTGTCGGCAAATTATTACGTTGAGAAAATGATTGTTAGTAAAATGATACAAACCCTCTGAAACACCTTTGTTAAAACTTCTCTAAAACATTTCAAATATCCAAATTCAAAATATATAAATAAGATACCTCAAGCCTTCTATCTAATATTAACAAATAAATTCATTAATATTAGCAAATAAACCCATTAACATTAACAAATAAACCCATTACTTACATATTACTTTATCTGTAATTAGCCCTAATGGATCTAGAAGACGAAAGTTAGAATACTGACCTAAATAATCATGAATTCATGTTTACTCATGATTATCTAGCCACTACAAAAGCAAGAAGTTTATTAGAAGATCAAGTAATTCAAAACGAAGATAACGATATTGAAGATACATTATCTGAGCATGATGACGATGACGATACAGATTATGAAGAAATTCTCGAAACTAAAGCAACAAAACTATCACCTTGCATTATCGTTGATAATTTAAATGGTGCAATCAGGCATTGCAATTCAACGGTTTCTCTAAAATCACTAGCACAATTAGTTGGTGCATGTGAAGTAGAATTAACTCCAGATGAATTAGAGTTAATACCTTAATCCAGATATATTTTTTATATCCGGATTAATCTGGTTTTATCATAGTATAAATTCGGATTTAAATTTATATCTAGATTTATTTATATCTGGATTTAGACCATTATATCATGTTATATCACATGACATAGTATATATCCGGATATATAAATCCGGATAGAGGTATTAACTCTAAGATGAATCTTTAAACTTAACTGAGTTGGGAGTCTGCTCTAATCATTTTAACTTTGATTATGAACAACTTTATTCGTCTGGTATTAAACAATTAAAGCATTATACTAAAGGTGTAGTTAATAAAAAAAAATGCTTATTATGCAATAAATATAAAATGTTTTTTAGTAGAGGTAATGATTGTGTAGACCATTGTTAGAATATATGCGAGAGAGATGTTCAAGTCCCATGTCTTGGTTTAAAATCTTGCCCTATATTTCAAATAATTCCAAAGATTGTCTCGAAATTTACTATTGGTGATAGATATGTTAGATATATCTGTGCAAAATGCTTCAAAAAACATAGTGGACATCTTCATAAACATCTAGGACCTGGAAAGTCTCAAACATGTATTAAGAATAATCTGCATACAGAAGACACTAACCATATTTTAAAGCTTTTTTCATCTTGGTTATTTAACCTCTCATATTCTCAAAATGAGAATAAAAAAGAAGAGGTATTGTGGCATCTTATAAAATTATTAGAAAACCCAGAATTATCGTCATCAACTTCAATGGATACGGATTTTAATTTATCTAGCCCATTGTTTGTAAAAATTGCTATGAAAATTAATAGGTTTGATGATTACTCGTCTACAGATAAAAAACTTATAAAAGTAGAAGAAAGCCATCAATTTGGAGAAATGTTAGAAAATACAATATGTAATTCACGTAAAGACATTGAAAAAAATCGTAATAAGTTAGAAAATCCATCCTCATTAGATGAATATTATAATAGTTTCCCTTTGATTCTTACTAGCTTTTTTAATAGATTAATCGAATCTATTGAAAAACAAAAATACGAAGTAAGAAAAAAGAAAAATAGACAACGTGGAAAAAAAAAACCGAATTTAATACAGATCCTTTAAAAAAAATTACAACATTTCTTGCATCTATTATTCTGACAACAGCCTTTTGTTCATGGAAAATATGGCTTACCTATACCCTAGCTTCTTTATATAAAAAGGCTAAATTAATATCTTCTCTACAAGCCATATTACATGCGGTACATATTACATCCCATATCTGGAAATATGAAACAAGATTAGAAACAGAACGTAAAATAAGTCTAATCCTTTGACAAGATTAATTAAAGGTCCAAATATATGGAACGTTGATTGATAATATTGACTTCAAGGATATTGTCTTTAAGTATGGGAATATATATATATATATGATATTACGCAGCAATCTTCACATACTACTCTAAGAATAGTGTTTCAATTCGAACTTCCATTTGACTTATTATCTCTTACTCAAGAAAATCCACAATTTCAAGAAAATTTATTTAGTCAATCGGCATTTATATCAGAATGGGATGAAAAATTTGATATAATAGTAAAACAATTAATAAATAGACATAACAAAGATTTTGAAGTTGAAGAAATTAATGCTGAAATTCTTACTATTGTTGGATCGGGATGACGAGTAAACCCACCAAACGTTGTTATATTAGAGCCTGGACCAGAACCTAATATTAATGAATCCGTATTTAAGTCAATCGATATGTATTTAGAAGACCTTGGACAAGACGTTGTTGATTTAGCATGCAATGTGGCTATTTTTGCAAGAACAAAAACATATACAAATAATAACTTAACTTGTAGATTTATCCTTAGACAATGGCATACTTCAAAGGCTATATGCAGTGCTTTGATTGCAGGATTTAGTGGATATGGTCTTTATAGCATGGCGGCAAAGCTTGGTATCTGATTTCTTGATAAGCTAAAGCAAAATGTAGACTATCATGCAACCTGTAAAGTATTAGAATTAATACACACCGCTGTTGGAATAGCAATTCATATTCATTTAAATAATAACAATATACCATCAGATGTAGAAGCTATATTTAGAGGAGATAATAATATTTTAAAAGTGTGGTTTTTATTTTACCGTTTAGCCAGATATTGGAAAGCTCATCGTATAGGTATTCGTCTGGGTAATGCAGATATGCAATTAAAAAGCTTGGCAGCATTCGCGCCCTTATTTCTTACTACTGGTAAAAATATTTATATATCATCAGTTATAACCTTTTTAGAATCAGTATCACGTTATCCACAGCAATACGAGCTATTCAAGTATGTCGCTTTAGTAAATATTACTAGAGAAAACCACTACTTAGCTTTTGATGAAGCCTTGAAGCAATATGGCGTTAAATTTGTCAAGCAAAATTTGACTTCTGGCTTATCAAATCCAGCTAACCTAAAACAAAAAATAATGGCAATTCAAGATGAATGTGAGAGAGTACTATTATTGTATAATGAATTTGTAGAAGATAATAAGATTAATTTAGAAAGTCATAAAGTTAAACAATATAATGAAACTTTATAGCAGCTCATTGACGAACATTTTATAATTCTGATCCCGCTTAACATGATCTTTTTAAGCATGCCCAGGAAATGAATCAAGATGGTTACATGCATATGTTCAATTTTTACAGAAGTGGTCTTACTTGATTATATAATATTTTGCACGAAGATGTTTATAAAACTAAAGAAAAAGTTACAAAGAGAAGATGGGTTAAGGATTTAGTTAGTATTTCAGCTAAAAAATATTTATTAGCTATTAAAAAAGGTTGAACCTTTTAGACTTATCCAATCTTATTAATATTAAACGAACTTCTTCTATATATAAATATAGCGAAAAATTTTCGATCTACTGTATTAAAAAATTTTAATAATAAACTCTACTTTGTATTTCTAAGTTACCATATAACCAGCTACTAATACTAACCTGATCTGTTAAAAAAAAATGAATAGCTTGTCTTCCTGAAAATAATTTGAGCAGTAAAGCTAAAAATAATACACCTTTTTGACCCTGTAATATATAAAAAAGCAAAGTAAAAAATAAAATAAGAAGGCTACTTGTAAACGAAACAGAGCCTGTAGAACAAGT